ACATGCTGAAGTTTACACCAAAAACAACATTAAAACTTCATAATCTTCAGGATTTCCTATGTTCCTTCTCTCACTTTCTTCCTTTTATTTTTTTATTGTTTTCTTCTTTGTCTCCTCTACTCGTCCCCTTTCCCATCCTCGAACCTAAAATAAATTTTCTCATTTTAAAATAATATCAAATTTATTTAATAATTATATGTTGCCAATTTTTGTATATAAAAATTATCTTAAGCTTAGATAATATGTCTCTTTTTATTTTGCATATCTCCACAGTATTTTTTCTTCTTTTTAAAATGTATATAGCTCTCTTTACATTGGTCTTAGGGCCATCACTAGTTATGTTGTACACTTTTTGGGTTTTTTGAAAGAAATAATTTTATTATTTTCAGTTAGATAATACTAATAAAGTTATTAAGTTTGGTACATTTACTTGTTAAATCAAATCAATTTGAAATCTTTTAATAGTTTGACAGTTTTCTCCTTAATTAGCTTGGATTTTCTTTGTAAAAATAATATTTTTACCTACCAGCCTTTCTTTTTTTTTAATTTTATTTATTCATTTTCAGAGAGAGAGGAAGGAAAGGAGAAAGAGAGGCAGAGAAATATGAATGTGTGGTTGCCTCTCACATACCCATACTGGGGACCTGGCCTGCAACCCAGGCATGTGCCCTGACTAGGAATCAAACCAGTGACCCTTTGGTTTGCAGCCCACACTCAATCCACTCAGCTACACCAGCCAGGGCTACCTACCAGCCTTTCAATAGTTAAATGTCATCTTATAATTTCTTGCCACATCATATTATCATAAGCATACAGAAAACTGTTAAGTAATATTTAAATTCCTCATTTCAACAATGAGAAAAACCATGGCTCAGAGTAAATAACCTATGTCAGAACCAGCTAGCTTAAAAAGAATATATATTAATCTGTAATCAAACTCTACAATCCCTACTGAAACAAGTTTAAAATCATTTTTCTGTTGACATAAAATAATCAAATGATAATTCAGGTAGAAAAAACAATAAATCATCCTCTTTTAAATCTTTACTTAAGTGATATTGATAAAATTCCAGTTGTTTATAATAAATTTCTGAAAATTGTATGATAATAATTAAATCTCTATTTACAGCTAGTCTCTTTCCTATACCAAAAGGTAGATAAGAGAGAATTACTTGCAGTGTTTGAGATGTGCCATTAAGCTAATTAGGAGTAAAATAGTTCACTCACTGGAGATAAATCAAACAAAACATGTGGTAGAAAACAGGATGGAGACTGGTAAACTTCAGTGCCATATGAATTTGGAATGGAATAAGAAATTGGCCAGTGTTTAATGAGAATAATAATAAGTACATATTTAGGTGGGACATATGGTTGGGGAGAAGAGAGGTGTGGCTCAGGTTCAGGGCCAGACTCGGGATGAGGAACTTCAGAGAGTAAAGGTGGGGAGTCTTTAGGTGACACCCAGCCCTCAACCTGGATATTGGCTTTGAGGGAACTATTATCTCTCTTGGCTATACCCACTAGTCTAGTGACCAAAATCAGCTCCTTAATTTCTGTTTCCCTCCCACTCAATGTCGGAAGTCCAGTTTAGTTCCAATTTTTAAATTGCAGCTAATTCACAGGATCCCAGGAGAACTACTGAATTTATTCTAGTATCGTGGTAGTTCTAATTTGGATGGCTAAAGACCAATTTAGAGCAATATTTTTCAAAATCCGTGCCATTACCTGTTGGTATTAAAGGTGACTGTTTTATTACATATGTATGTCTATCTCTGTGTGTAATCCCCAATATTGACCAGGAAAAATGTAATTTCCACAAGGATAACTTTAGAACATGATGTGAGAGGAAGGGTGGGAGTAGGGCATTAGCAGGAGTAGTCCATCCGCAACACAGAGAAATATTTTATCAATGATGTTTGGTTTGCTGGTGCATGGTGACAGCAATAACCACACCAACTTTAGTCAGATTCCTTTCATTTTTAAATTGTTTATAGCCAATGTACCCCCCTTATTTCTTGCATGCAGAATAGACTGCTTGTATAACCCCTGACTCCAGCCTCCATGTGCCATTGCTTTAGAGCAGCAGTGCAAGTTCCAAGTTATTATGGATCAGACTCTTTTGTCATTATCAGTAAAGATAATACACCACTTATGAATATAATGTAAGCCACTGCAAAACTTAAACCAGTCACAATTAAAGGAAGAAAAGTATTTGAGGAAATGCCTATCCTGATTTTTTCTGAGTGTAATTTATTAGAAAATTCCTTTTTCTTAGCAGCTAAGGAAAACAAAGTGTTCTTAAAGAGTTCTGGAAAGCTAATAATACAATTTTTATGCTTAAAAATGTTTCTTTTACTTCAAAGGTGAAAATAAATAGAGTGAAAATTATAGTTCAAGCTTCCAAAAGTTATGTATAGTGTAAAAGTGAGTTATAGTTTTAAAAGGAATGAAACAAATCAGTCAGTGAATTTTAATTACACACCTATACCAAACACTAAAAGACATTTCAGAATCAAAAAGTTACACTTTTTGGTCTTTATAGTTTAAATATAGTAGAAGAGGTGAAGCTAGAATACATAAGACAATAGCAATGAACAAAACAATGCATATCATAAGGGACAGATTATGTGTCATAGGTTCCAAGTGTCAGAGAGGTCTAACAGAGGAGAAGGTAGAGTTCTGGAATAATTTACCACCGCTGCTGAACAATTGATGGGGGCGAGAATGATGAGGATGATATAATGTTTACTGAGTGTTTACTCTTGTTAGATACTTTTTCTGGTCATCTACATTCATTTTCCATTTGCTACTCACAACTATTCTAAATGATAAATACCATTTTCACCTTTTTCTTAACAGGTGAAGAAACTGAGGCACAGAGAAATTGAGTGACTTCATTAAAGTCGCAAAGTTAGTGGCAGAACAAAAATTTAAATGAAGTAGTCGGTCCCTAGGAACTGCACTTTAAACTGCTATCATATAAACTGTCAGGAATTTCATGATGGAAGTGGTAATTGGGTTGGGCTTTTACCAAATATCATATTTAAGTGAGAGAAAATAATAGGGAGAACAACCCAGGGGGAAGAAGGCTGTGATTATAGAAGAGAAATTACAAAGCCAGAATGAATATTACATGTTTTAGGGATGAGAAAACGATTAAGGTTCATGATGTGATATATCATGGGAAATGAAATTGGAATAAATTTTATTCTTAAAGGGTTTCAAATTCCATTGAACAAATTGTTAATGAAGTAGAAAATAAGGACACATTAAAAGATGTTTTAACTAGTCACATGATGAAAGCCGTGTTTTTGGACTGTTAGTTTTTAATGAGCATGAAAGTGAACTTGAAGAAGAAAAGAACAAGAGTCATGGTGTTCAAATGAAAAGCCGTAATAAGCTAGACTAGGAAGAGAAAGGAATATATGGACCAAAGAGACAACTTGAAGGAATAATTATCAGAGAATAAAATTGAGGGCTAAATCCAGGATACCTTTCAAACTCTTGAGTGTAGGTGTTTGGGATATTGGGTAGCACAACTGATAAAGATAGTGAAACCTAGAGGCAAAAGAATTTTTGGTTCCCAGACACCCAGTTAGACTGCAAAACTCTCTGAGAGCAGGATGGTGTCATATTTACTATTTTAGACTTAATGAAGTGATAGACATGCTGCCTGGCAAATAGTAGGTAGTCAAGAAAATATTTTTTAATACATGATTGAATGTAGTCATGGTAGGATAATGAAACAAAAACTTAGTAGGCATCTATAGGTCTATAACTTCAGTGAGGAAGTAAAGTAAGGACACAGATTTAGTAGTTCTCTAACTAGAAGAGGATTCTGTAAAGTCACGAGAATGGATTAATACATGAAAGATAAATTCATTATGAAAAAAAAATCCAGAGAACTTAGTATAGGAACTAACTACTTGAGGTCTGAAAGGACTTCCTTCAATTTAAAATTATGAAAAAAATGAAATAAATGCTCATTTATAGTGTTTGTGTCACAAATTAGCCTTTTTGGATTAGATCCTGCCTGGGGAGCTTTTGTAATGTGTTCATCAGTTTTAACACATTTTTTTTCTTTCAGTCAAAGCCAATGAGATACAGCTAATACATAAGAATATAAAGTAGATTAGTCTTCGTAGGTACAGCATCATTTGGTAAAGAAGAGAATATCTAAGTCTACTTGATCCCAAATGAGAATCACCTAATGATTTTTGAAAATGTACAGGAAAAAGTGTAGATCATAAGTAGATCATACTCATAGGTAATGCTCTCTCATTTAGGGATGGTATACACAAAAATGATGGCAGTAGTTGAGTTTGAGTGGTAGGGGGAGAAAGAAGAGACTAGCAGAGTGACTGAAGTTTATAATTTAGGAGGAGGCTAGATGCATTGTATTATCTAAAGGTAGGAGAAACAAAAGTTTACACTTTCTCTCACGCTCCTCTGAAAGAGGTAAATACTTCCCAGTAGGTCAAAATTCTGTTTATTTATTATTTATACTCAACCATCTCTATTTTTATGAGGAGAGTATAACTAAAACCAGATTATTTTATTCATAAATAATTCACCTAAACAAATAAACATAAAGGCAATACAACAAAATACAGTGACAGCCAACCAACAAATGTCAGTGCCTCTGTCAGTGAGCCCCTCACCTTCCCTCAGCATGCCTGGGATGCCATATGGGACATATGACCTGACGTCCAAGGCTGAGGGAAGATTCCAGGGTTAATCAAAGTATTAAACATTAGTAATGCTTTACTTCTTTCTTAATATTGGGGATTGCCTGACAATGGAGGGGCCTGGGTGGATGTGGACAAAGGGAGAAAAAGTGAGGACAACTATAGTAGCATAAAAAATAAAATACAATTAAAATTGAAAAAAGAAGTAAACCAAATAAAATCACACTGTAGGAAACTATCATAGGGCATAAGGGAGAAAACAAAAAGACTTTAAAATATGCATGAATCCCTTTAACCATTGTTTTTCCATACCTGTAATTAGTAGTCTGCAAGTGGTTCTGTCATTCCATAGCATCTACTTCTTTGGCTGGCAGCTGTTGAAAATAATCCTAGAAGGAAATTTCAGACTCTGTCTTCTGAGATCCAACACATATGAAAGACAATGCTGAGTTAACCTCCTTCTCCCAGGACTTAACCCTTCCCATGCGTCAGGCACGGACCATGGTTTCACAAGCGTTCTTGCCAGCATGAAGGTAGTTACATGCCATCTTTCTTTAGCCAATCACAGGGCCATTCTAAAAACAACAGCTTGTTAATGAGGCATTTTCTAACACGCCTATAATCTCCATTATCATTAACCCTGGCTGTTTTCCAGAGAGCTCTGAGGACAGCCCACATGCCATCAGGTCTTACAGCTTCCAACATGTAAAAAAAAAAAAAAGAAAAAGAAAAGAACATTGTACTCACTCTATACAAGGTTTATACAGTTTGATTACAGCCTCACAGTAAGTCAGAAGTGAAAATATAGATGGAAGAACTTGAATACATGTTCCTTATTTCAAGAAATACCTTTTTTCTCATTCATATTTCTTTATTTTGCTGAAGGAAATGAATGGGAACTAGCCCCTACAATACTAATTCTTAGGGTGTTCTTTGCTAGTACATAAAATGACTTGGTGATTATTAAGTATCTTTCCAAAGAAACATTACATTTAATATTTATTCAGTTGTTAACTACTGCAAGGCATACTTTTAGGCACTAAACTTTTGAAGATTTGAGCAGACATTTTTGTTATATAAATTAAATTATTCACAGTGCCTTTAGTGTTTGATTAAAAGATTTAATCAGAAGGTTTCAAAGGTTATTGAGCAAATACCCCAAGAAAATAATTTGTAGCTACATTTTGGCTTTAATTTATTGCTAATTAACAAAGGAGGTATGTTCAGATTAGTGTACACCGTGCTGTTCTTATTATGGGGCAAAAATTCAGGAACTTTTTGCTGAATTCCCTACTTCTCTCCAGCCACTAAATAATCTTGCACATTTTCAGGGCTGAGCCTTCAGATATCTTCTCTACCACACTGACTCTCTGAAATACGCACTGTAACATGTGCGGGTAATTGGACATGATGACTGCATGTTACCTATTGTGCAAATAAAAAGTTCTTATAATTACTTGCAAATTTTCTCTAATTTTAAAATCATTTTTAAAAGAAAATCCTTATTAAGATAACACAAAAGAGAAAACCAAAGTCTTCACATTGTTTTTTGTAACAGGAAGGAAGGAAAAATAATTAAAGTTCAGGGAAAGGGGTGCACTTGGCTGGATTTGTAGAAATTTTATCTTTCCAAATTAACTCTCAATAGTAGCTGGCATAATTTTGTGTGTATTAAAACACTCAATAAATATTCTTGGATAATTCTGGTTATGTTAATATCTACAGATAAGTAGCTATTTCATAATTAAGTTATATAACAATATTAGATTTCTAAAACTTGTAGCTGAAAGTTTTAAAATCTTGTTTCAGTATTACTTACATCTTGTTAAATCAAGACCTTCTGTATTTCCTTAATAATTAAGATTCTATAACCTACAGAAAAGATTCTAAAATGCTTGATTCTTTGCCTAAAACAGATATTAACTGTTATTTTTAATACATAAAATCCTATTTAAGATATAGTATTTGTTTTGTAAAAGTGGCTACCTCAAGACTTTTTAGTTTCTTGAGAAAACAATTGATGATCAAGTGATCATCATTATTTTAATATTTATGTAAAATTAAATTAAAAATCAGCAATGTGTTAAAATATTCAGTATTTCTTCTTTATTAATTTGTGTTTTAGATTCTGGCTTTGTTAGATCATTTTTTTTTACTGTTTGTTTCTTCATCATTCATGATCAAATGAGTTAGACTAATTCCCCATTAGGAAATGATGCTTATAAAATATCAAGTTCTATGTGGATCTATTGATTATTGCCCTTGACTTCTTTTATATGATACTTGATTCCACAATTATCTTGAAGATATCCCATAAATATGATTGAAAAATATGGTAGGTGCAGGGAGAGACTGTGGCTTGCGATTTAGCTCTAGATATTTTCCTCTATTCTTCATTTACCCACTTTAAAAGATGTAGTGAGATCCATGTTTACTCGCCACACTCAGATGTGCAAAGAAATGTGATTTCTTCCCTTATTCTGTTAAAGATGCCATCTTTCTCCTGATGCCTGGATAATGTGCAGTAGAACTTAAACACCTGTGTCTTTTCATTTACTTGCTTTCAACTTTTCACTCTCTAACTGGGATAAATTTATTTTTTTTGTTTTTGACCTTAAATAACTTTTTGTTTTTCAATTATGGTTGACAAACAATGTTATATTAGTTTTATGTGTACAATTCAGTGCTTAGATATATAACTTACTCAGTGACCTTGTTGATAAATCCAGCACACATCTGACATCATATGTATTTATTACATTATTATTCACTTTACTTCCCATGGTGCACTCTACATCCCTGTAACTATTCTGTAACAACCAATTTGTATTTTTTGATCAAATCACCTTTTTCACACATACCCCAATCCCCTCCTGTTTAGCAACTGTAAAAATGTTCTCTGTATCAATGAGTCTGTTTCTGCTTGTTCATTTATTTTGATTTTTAGATTCAACATATAAGTGAAACCATATGGCATTTGCCTTTGTCTGATTCATTTCACTTAGCGTTATATTCCCTGGGTCTATCCACATTGTTGTGGATGGCAATATTTTATTCCTTTTTATGACTGAGTCATGACCCATTGAATATATGAGGTCTGTCTGGAAAAAGTCCAGCCATTGTTAATATAACATGAGTGGTTTGCACATTGATGTAACCTGGCAGCCAAGGAGAGTGAACTGGAATGCATATGCATGAACAATGACAGCTTCACTGTACTAGTCAGTGGGGGTGGTAGACACCGTTAAGTGAGCGTGTGTACTGTGTGGCTGTTGCATTCAAAATGACTGACTGAGGAAAGCAACAAATCTGCATCAAATTTTGCATTAAACTTGAGCATTGCTCCACAGAAACTACTTGGATGATTCAGAAGGCCACAGTTATGGGCAACTGGTGATTGGCAGCTTCATCACAACAATTCACCTACTCATGCATCATGTCTCATGCAGAATTTTTTGGCAAAACATCAGATTACCCGGGTGATTCAACCCCCACAGCCCAAATTTGGTACCCTGAAATTTCTGGCTTTTCCCAAAACTAAAATCATCTTTGAAAGGAAGAGATTTCAAACCATCAATGAGATTCAGAAAAATTCAATGGGGCAGCTTATGGCAAGTGGGAGAATGGTGTGAGGTCTCAAGGTGCCTACTTTGAAGAGGACTGAGGTGTCATTGTCCTGTGAGTAATGTACCTTATATCTTCATTAAATGTCTCTATTTTTTGTATTACATGGGTGGATACTTTCTGGACAGACCGTGGTGTACACACACCACTTCTTTATCCATTCATCTACTGATGGACCCTAAGGTTGCTTCCATATCTCAGCTATTGTGCATAATGCTGCAATGAACATAAAGATATATATGTCTTTTCAATTTAGTGTTTTGGGATTCTTCAAATAAAATACCCAGAAGTGAGATTGCTGGGCCCTTTTTTGTCTCTTATAATATAGCTATTGTTTTAAAGTCTATTTTGTCTGGTAGAAATATTGCTTCCCCAGCTTTTTGTTTATTTCCTTTATGAAATATTTCTTTCATCCCTTTACTTTCAGTCTCTGTGTGTCTTTCAATCTGAAGTGAGACTCTTGTGGACAGCATATATAAAAGTCTTGCTTTGTTGTCCTTTCAGCCTCCATATATCTTTTGATTGCAGTGTTTAATCCATATGCATTTAAAATAATTGTTGATAGATATGCATTTATTGCCATTTTATTATTCATACTTTTATCTTTTTTATTCTTTTTCTTAAAAGAGACTAATGGACATTTACTTTAATCCTGTTTTATGTGATGAACTGTTTTAGCTTTTTCTTGTCTGAGAAGCTTTCTATCTGTCCCTCAGTTTTTAATGAAAGCTTTGATGGGTAGAGTAATCTTGACTGTAGGTCCTTGCTTTTTATCTCTTGAAATGTTTCTTACCAATTCCTTTGTCTTTTGAGAAATCAGCTGACAGTCTTAAGGGAGCTCCCTTGTAGGTAACTAACTGCATTTCTCTTTCTGCTTTTAAGATTCTTTCTTTGTCTTTAACCTGTGTCATTTTAATTATGATGTGTATTGGTATGGGCATCTTTGGTTTCATCTGGTTTGGTACTCTGCATTTTCTGGGCTTGTATGTTTATTTCCTTCACCAGGTTAAAGATGTTTTCTGACATAAGTTTTTCAAATATATTTTCAATTTCTTGCTCTCTCTATTTTCCTTCTGGCACCCCCATGATGCAAATATTGCTACACTTGGAATTAGCCCAGAGATTCCTTACAGTATCCTTTTTTTTTCTGGGGGGGAGGGTTCTTTTTCTTTTTACTGTTCTGATTGGGGGGTTTCTGCTTCCTTATCTTCCAAATCTCTTATTTGATCTTTAGCTTCATCTACTCCACTTTTGATTCCTTATAATATATTCTTCATTTCAGTTAGTTTATGCACCATTTCTGACTGGGTCTTTTTTATGTGTTTTCTAGTTCTTTTTTTGAATGTATTTTAATGATTATGCCATTACAGTTGCCCCATTTTTTTCCTCCATAGTATTCCCCTCCACTCTGCACCCCCCCACCAGCATTCCCCTTGCCTTTAGTTCATGTCCACAGGTCATACATATAAGTTATTTGGCTTCCCCATTTCCCATACTATTCTTAACCTCCCCTTATCTATTTCGTAGCTACTGTTTATGCTTCTTATTCCCTGTACCTTTTTCCCCATTCTCCCCCCTCACCCTTCCCACTGATAACCCTCCATGTGATCTCCATTTCTGTGATTCTGTTCCTGTTCTAGTTGTTTGCTTAGTTCATTTTCTTTTAGGTTCAGTTGTTGGTAGTTGTGAGTTTGTTGTCATTTTACTGTTTCTATTTATGATCTTGTTTTTCTTTTTTTA